GTAAGGGGCCATCCATAAATTACGTCACACGAATTTTAGGACTTTTGAACCCCTCCCCCCGTCCTTGTCACAGGTTGTCACATTTTTATAATCCCCCCTCCTGATGTGACGTCACACATTTTTTAAATTTGGGCATGTATTTAAAAATAATCGAGAGAAAACAGCTATTTTCATTTTTTACTTTTTTTATTAAATAATCTAATAAATTCAACATAAAGTCCAATATTTCAGATAGCGAGAATGCTAAATTATTAATAAATATAGATCAAGTTCGTAGATTTTTATAGTTTTTTATTCACATCTAAATTTCGCGTTTTAGTATTTTAAATTTTAACATGTGACGTCACAAAACTTTTGACCCCCCCTGCCCCTTGTCACACATTGTCACATTTCGGTGATACCCTCCCTCCCCATTTACGTGTGACGTAATTTATGGATGACCCCTTGTCTAGGTCGAGATGAAACTTCTAGATCTAGGTATATCGAACTGTAAAAGCCATGCTTAATATTAGTCATTTCGTGAATATTTCTAATTTAGCCGTCAATTTTCTAAAAAAACATAAATTACCCTTTTTTCCTGGTTTTTAAAATTCGTGTAAAGGATGGAAAAAATTTTGTTCCCGAAAAGTTGTGGCAGCATGTGATAGGAAATTTATTCCAGTTTTCGTAACTGTCCTTCAATTCTTTGTACGACCATTCGTCGATGAGATCGATAATTGAAGACAAAAGTATCCTTTTCCATTAAAAGTCGGATATTTCGATGAAAAATGGTCGTATCGGAATTAAAAAAAAAGGTAATTGAAGCTGAATAAACAAGCTATCTGGCCCATGCAATGGCTTAGCTGAAAAAAATTTTTTCCGAACCGTAGCTCCTAAAAAATTTCAACCGAAAGATCTAAAAACTAGAATCTTAAATATTCAAAATGCTTAATTCTCGATACGATCGTTTCACCTAAAAACACTAAAAAATCACGGAAAATTTCGGAAATTGTTTTGACCCTTTAATTGTCTGCATTAGTATAGGTTATTTGTAGCCAGAGTTAGTAGACAGTCAAAGGTTAGTGTAAGACGTTTGTCGCCAAGCATCATCAACCGTAACAGACGTTGCTAACAAACGCTACTGATCGCTATGGCATTGCCGACAGCGCATAAAGACGCGAAAATGTTCATCTCAGTTCCGGATTTTTGAAAATTAAAATGAGTCCAAATTTTACGAAATTCAGATTTAGCAAGGCCTTCGGATCAACAGTAACCAAAATCATTTACAGATCAATAACCCTTCGGAGACGGTCACCATTCTAAGACGACAGTTTTTCAGCTTGGAGTGTATTGGAACCTCAACCCTGCAGTTTATTAATTAGGGACCTGGCTAATACACCAGTGCCCTTCAAATTTTTGCATTTGCATTATACAGGGTAGGAAAGTTCCCATGGTTCATCAGCCGTTACGTGAGAGCGATAAAGTAAGTCATAGAAATCCGTGCGATAGAGAAAGATGGTTATAATGAAGGCGTCTAATAGTCACCGCCCATTTCGCCCTTCCACAAATAAGAAGTGGATAAATACATTCATTTATTGGAAAATATCAATAATCTCACAATTTTTATGAAATTCAAAACTGTGTTAAAAATTTGGGCATTGCCCGGTTCCTTCGGCGAAGATCCTGGGGGATAGAGGCTCTTCAAGCTTTCAAGTACTGTCAGGAGACCTCATAAACATTAGTGACCCGGAACCAATATAAAGTGCAAAGTGTAACATAAGGAGGCTCACAAAAACAAAAGCATATTTGTGTGTAAGTGGTACAAAAAATAGAGTGTCCATTGAGATTGGCATGAAGAGGGAGACGTTCGATCATTCCGTAACCCTCCGGCGTCGCAGACAAAACACAAGGATCTCGGTACTGTCGGTCAACTCAGTAACACAGATATGGAGGTGCAAAACACCACCTTAACATGCCGCTGAAAGATATAACAAGTCATATTCTACGACATGGCGCCCAACGTGGGGCCACGAAATGCCAAAGAATAATGATACTTTACGACAACGTATTTTAATTTAAATAAATACGTTTCCGAAGTCAGTTGAATTTGTATAAAAACGCCTTGCAAGAAAATTTAATGATTTTCATAGGCGTGCCTAAAAAAAATTTTCTGCTAAAGGTAAAAAATAATAATAATTTGTATATAATGTGTAGAAAATTTCTATTATAAGTTCATTCGGCCAACAACATATTTTAATAGTTTATGTCCTCAAACAATTTTATTATATTGATGGTAAATTTTGGTTGTGGCATCAAAAACCATTTACATTTTCATTAAAATATATTACTGCTCGACAAGAACCAAGGGAACGGGAAGGTATGAACATATCCTTGCCAGGAAAGGATGAGGAAAGTTTGTTAGTTTAGGTTGGAAAAGTTATTAAATAAAAAATAATCAACAATAAAGTAATTCCGCATTGCTGCACTGCACTGCTAGGCAATTTGTCAACAACTGAAATTTATGGTCGGTCGCCCAGTGCGGCTGTGTTTGTGCGCCGTTTGCCCGCATGCGCATTCTTCAACTGAGCGCCACGTTTAGTTCGACCAGACCTGTATATGGGTATGGCTAAATAAATATGGGAAAAAGTTTTTCAAGACTAAAGTATAGCTTTAAAAATTTTTTTAAATATGTAACCTCTTAACTTAATATTTCGCTGATAGAAGAGTATTAAACATCGATAAAATTACCGTTGGTTACTCCATTCAATTTTAAGCACAATATTGATTTACAAATTGCAAATTCATTTTGAAACATGCGTCCATTATTTTTGACACTAAAGAATCAACGTCTCACCGGATTATCCCTTACACAAGAACGTGACTTTAACCACTGCCAGAGGATGCCATAAAATAAAATAACGTTTTTGTTTATCAAGGCGGGGGAAGAAAAGTGTCAGATATTCCCTTTGAAGGAAATGGCAAGCCCGTTTTTGTGTAGAAAATATAAATATAAATCATCTAGACTATTAACTTTTCACGTTGACGTGAAGGGGGAATAAATCATGTAATACTTTCCAAATTTACGAGGGACAGTCGAAATATATTATATTATTTTTCAGCTTGTCCGTGCCGTACGACTCTGGCCTAATATTAATCGTGATGAATGCGTTTTCCACGCTCATACCACTGTCAGAAGTCGTTAATCAAAATCAAAACAGTTTCGAGGCGCATGAGCGATCGCTCAACGCTCAACGATGCCGTAGTCGCGGGGACAACAATCATTTTAGTTGCCTTGCTTGCTAGTGCTTTGTTTATTTCATTTTTTTATGAGACAGTGTAAAAACTGCCTCCTTGATAATAGTAGGTAGGCTATTGTTGGAAGACGAAGGTACGACTTACATTTTTCAAGCTCTAGGTTATGATTATTTTATTCAGTAGCAGTATTTTTACTCTGTACCATGTTAACGTTTATTAAAATGTGATATCTGAACGAAATTTTGTTTACACTGTCAAATATAAGCTTATAAAATTTGTATAACACATGTTTTATCGTTTTTACAATTTTGTTGCTGCAACGAATTCTTTAATTGCTGTTAAAGATCATTTTGTAACCACCAAAATATGTTAGTAAAGTGTTAAAACCTTTAAAAATAATTCTTTTGCATGTATTAACATCTCTTTCTTTTTCAGATGGCTGACGTAGTAGTAAGCAGCGATAACACCAACCCGAAGGAACTCCTGGGGCAAGGCATTCGGGCTTACGTCTTGCAAGACTACACGTCTGCAGTTGCTGCTCTAAGCAAAGCCAGTGAACTCCTGGTGGCGGAACACGGGGATGATTTGCACGATTCTTTGGCCGACGTTTACCTTTACTATGGAAAAGCGCTGTTGGGATTGTCCAGGGAAGATTCGGAGGCCTTAGGTAACTGTCAGGGACCGTACAAAGTGTTATTATAAAAAAATACTGATGGTTGTTCTTGCACAAACATATGATTTTATTTTTAGGCGATGCTGTTCGAAATAAAGACGAATCTGATGAAGAAGACGAAGAGGAGGTGGAAAACAGGGAGACTGAGGGAGGGGATGAAAAAGAGGTAACCGAAAATGCCGAAGCCAATGGAACTGTCTCGTCTAGCGAAGAAAAAAAGGAGGGTAGTAGTAGTGAAGCAGATACAAATGTTGAATCCAATGGGGACGAGAAAGACTGCGAACCTTCAGGTAGGCCAAGTTAAATTTTGCCGTTTAATGATGTTTTATCGGTTTTATAGTCAATCAAATATGGTGATACCAAGAAAGGTGCGTTATTTGGGGAAAATGTTTTATTTGATTATTGATTTTTGACTTTCTTTCAATTCTGTGGTTTTTCTTTAAAAATTAATTCAAAAGTAATTGTGCGATTTTTTATATCTAACAAATTTGGCAGTTTAAAACAGTGTGGGAAATGAAATTATTTCTAAAAATTGAAAAAAAAACGAGATATTAAAAATATTGTTTATTCATTTTCTAATTTTCTGCCTTCTATAATTTTTTTCCAGTTATATAAGCAAACCACTAAATTTTATTCTAAAAGTAATAATCTTATGGTGGTTTTCCACTAAACGGACAGTTGAGTTTGTGTTGTGTTTGTGTTTTCTAGAACCTGAAAAACAAAAACAAAACTGAAACAAACGCAAAATTCTTGTTTCCATCAAGCGGGCTACATTTTGTTCGAGTTTTGTTTTTGTTTTCGAATCCTTTTCCACTGGTTGTCGCGAGGAAGTCAGAACACATTTTTTCAATAAAAACATTTAGAGATTATTTTATTCTTCAAAACACTTCGAAACCTTTTGATGTGACCGAAAAACAAAATGAAACTTCAACTATCATAAAACACGCCAGTCTTCAAAAAGTTTGCGAAAAGTTTGTTTTATTCGACAGGAGTTGTGTTTTTGTTTTGTCCATTTAGCGGAAAACCAATTTGACCAATAAATTGGTCAGTTTGAATTGTGACATTTTTTCTGTTTATTTGGATATTTAAAAAAATAAAAAAATTAATTAAACAAATCCTTGTGCCAAAAGGATCAGTGCCATCAGGATCAGATCAGGTTATTCTTGTGAAACTATTTAACCAAAAATTTTTCATTAAAAAACGACAAATAAATAAAAACATTACTAGGATATGAAGCAGGAGTTTGTTTGACTAATTAATTATTTTTCACAGGTGGCACATAAACAATGAAAAATCTAAAATTATGTCACGAATAAATTACTTCAGACAATATTGTAATACTTTCTCGAATCAATTTCAAAAAAAATTACTTTGCTATCATTTTTGAATAAAAAAGTAATATCGAATGACGTGCAGAAAAGTAATCTCTCTATTCTATTTGTCAAATTTGCCAGTTTAAAAAAGTGTAGGAAATGAAATGAACAAAATTCTGGAAAACGTCCGAGATAAATGTCGTTTATCAATTTTAATTCTTTACCAATTTTCAGCTCTTTAATAATTTGTTTTTGTTATTATTATACAGGGTGACTTAAAATTCAGTACAAAGAATTTAGTGGCATATTTTCGAGGTTAAAATAAGACTTTTTTTCCATAAACGTGAGTCCACAAATACTTAGTTTTCGATATACAGGGTGTCAAAGTTTTTTCGATTTTTTAGGAATAATTTTCAAAAAGATTTGAAAGTACGCATAAAACTTGGGGCATGGGGGTTTTTTAAGATGGTAAATTTAAATATGTCACAGCTTTTGACGCTGCTTGTAGAGGGTGCCACCTATAAGGGTATGCTTGAATTAAAGTGGCCCTAACTTTTTTTGCTACCCTGTACACTGACGTTTCGTATTAATGTGTTTATACCCCTGTTAATTTTAAACAAAAAAGGTATACTTTGTCGAAATGTCTCAGACTAACTGTTTCCGAGATATTGGCTGATGAAGAGTTAAATGCACACCGTATTTTCAAATTTTGTAACTATTTACAGTGAAAAATTTTAAAATGTATTTTGGATTCACGTTTATAGGAAAAAAAGTCCTCAGAAATACGGCCCTACATTCTTTGTACTGAATTTTGAATCAGAAACCTTTGATTTTTATTCTAAAATTTGGTATAGTTTTAAATTTGGCCAATTTATTGTAACTTGTAAAAAATGTCATAAATATAGTGTGACATTTCTATTGAACTATTTTATTTGTTTTATTAATTATTTATATTTCACAAGTGGCAAAAATCCCAAATAAACAAAAAAAAAAAACTAAAATTATGCCACAAACTAGACAATATTAGGAAAATTTCTAGAATTTATTTTTGGAAACACTTAAAAAAAAAAAAGTGGAAAATTAAATTGTCCCAAAATTTCGAAAAATGCCTGAGAGAAATGTTTATCAATTTTAACTTGTTTACCAATTTTCAGCTTTTAATTTTTTCTACAATTTTTATATAACATACCTCTAATTTTTTTTAAAGTTGGTCTAAAACTTGACCAAAAAATATACCAAATGTAAAATTGTGACTATTGCGAATTAATTTTTTTTTCTCGGGTGTTTTGCCACTAAACTACTAGTACTACAAGTACTATATTTGTTCGGGGCTGTTATGCCATGGCCTTTGGACCTGATCGCCACCAGTTATAGACTTTCAACACTTTCCTGATTTTAGCTGGGAATATATGTCCTGCTCGTTGTTCTTGGGCTAGTCTCTGTGGGCAGACCTGCTATCAAAACCTCTAGACTCCTTCTGATGTTTATTTCGGTTCATAATGTTGGTTCTAAGACCGCTTCTCAGTCCTATTTCTGTTCGTAGTGAATTTAGAATCGACAATTGAACCGAAATGAATATCAGGACAGGCCTAGAGGTTCTGATAGTGGGCCCTCCTCTACAGAACCTAGCTCTAGAACAACAAGGGCAAGTCGAGGATTCCTAGCTAAGGCTATGGAAATGCAATGTAAGCCTATGATGAGCACCAAGTACGTAGGCCCCAAATAAATAACTTTAGACGATATTTATGCAATTTAACCATCTTTTACATGAATTTTCTGCTATAATTCAAGAGGATTTGTACTTTTTTTCTAGCGTCTACCTCGGCAGACGGTGTAGAGGAAAACGCCGACGCCGAAGACGAGCCCACGGACCTCCAGGTGGCCTGGGAGGTCCTGGAACTGGCCAAAACGATCTACAAGAAACGCGGCGAGGACGGCAAGAAGAACCTCGCCGAAACCCTCGTCATTCTCGGCGAGGTGTCGCTGGAGAGCGAGAACTTCGAATCGGCCATAAACGACATCAAGGAGGGCCTCAGGATGCAGAAGGAGCTCTTCCCCGACGACAGCAGAACCGTGGCGGAGACGTTCTACAAGTTGGGTGTCGCCTATTCCACCGACACCCAAATAGACGAGGCCGTGGAGAGCTTCCAGTCGTCCCTACGGTACTTGCAGAACAGGATAAATAACCTGGAGAAGGCGGGAGACGGGAAGGACGAAGTCGCGGAAGAAATCGAGGAGATAAAGGGCCTCGTGCCGGATATCGAGGAGAAGATCGCTGATATGAAGAGCTACAAGGACGAGGTATGTCAGTGTGATATAAGGACCAGTATTACGGAGTTTGTTGGCAAGGCAAAGTTCGTTAATGTCGATCCGGACGAAGTCAACCGGATCGAGGTTAAGAGAAAGCCCACGATCGAGAGCGCTTTGGATAAAATCCACATCTGATCCCTCGTTTTGGGATTGGTTGCACTTTGAGACTGATTTCATACTCGTTGCTCTTTTATAAACGCTTTTAGTTGTCCTTAAATTGTTTTTGTAGTAGTTGCTTTTTTTTTTTTTTTTTTTGTAATTGCATTCCAATTCTTTTTAATAAAATTATGTGATATTCGTGTGAAATTTTATTTTGCCTCACCCTGTGTGTCCCGTTTATGTTTCAGCAGTGTTGTTTTGTCTCTCCTTTTTACAAATTAAGAATTCTAAGAATTTATACATGTTTTAAAAAGTTGGTAGGAAAATTTTAAGAAAAATATTTTTTTTTTACTTTCTCTTAGCCGAATTCAGAATTTTGCCAACAAATTTTCGTTTTTCTGTGAAATTAACGTCCGAAATGTTTTTATTGATGTATATATTGAAATTAATAATAATCGGTCTTTTTTTTCTAATTTTCAAAATATCTATAACGATTTCGAAAAAATTGTTATTTCTTTGATTTTTTAACTTTTTTTTGTCATCATTGAATTTAGTTGATTCACATTTGCGTAATTTTTTGTCTATCCAAATTCTTGAGCGAACACAAATAAATATATAAAAAATTAATGTTTTATAAGTCTCGGTCAAATTCAAAATTTTTGCCAACAAATACACATTGTTCTTTGAAACTAACTCCCAAAATGTTTTGTAAATTTTTGAAGCTAAGATTTTTTTTTTGATTTTCGAAATTACTACGATGATTTTTGTTGGAACTGGATTTAGGTGGTTCAAATGGAGTGTACAAAATAAATATAAAAATACAAAGAAATATTGTTGTACTGACTTGGCCATATTCGAAATTTTGCCACTCATTTTTCATTGAGATTAAATTTCTTTGGTGTTTTTGTTATTGTGAAAATATGAAGTTAATAATATTGAACAAACTTTTTTTCTGATTTTCAAGATAGCTATTCTATGAAAAAAGTTGATTTTTCTTTGCTTATTCAATATTTTTTGTCACAGCTGGATTTTGTTGGTTGCGGCAATTTTTTGTTTAAAAATTTTTGATGTAAAAACAAATATGAATTTTTTTTTTTACCCTCATAACCACCTTAAAAATTTTGCTAAGAAATTATCATTTTCCTTTTTGATTAAACTTCAACGTTTAAATACTGGAACTAACAATATTAACCAGCCGTTTCTTAATTTTCAAATCGACAAAAATTCTTCAATGAAAAAGTGAATAGTTCTGTTTTTTCCTCATTTATTGACATACTTTCATTTGCTTTGTTTTTATTTTGACAGTTTTTGTTCATTGGAACTTAAATATTCGTTCTTTGCTTTTTCTTAACCAAGTTCATAGTTCTACAGTGGGTGACATATAACCTACAAACTGATTGTCACATGTTAATTGTCATTGCTGCTCAACGCCTACTAGCACAAAGCAGTGCATACTTTGTACCTACTGGAAAAAAATTACCTACTAATCTGTAGCTGTTATGAAAGTAGGCCCTATTCCGCAGTAGGTGAAATAAACTTTTTAATTTATATTGTGGGAAAAACTGCTTCACGAGTCGCATACCCTTATCCAGCACTAAAGTACATCCCCAATATGTAGCAAACATTACATTTTTTATCGATAGGTACAAAGTAATGCTTTTTTGAGTAATTAGGCTGATTAAAAAAAATCGACTATTTTTTTTCCAAAATCCCCTCTGAAATAGATTCAGGGAGGTGAAAAGAGATGCCTGTAAAAATCGGAACTCTTAATATTAATATTTAGAGGTCGCGTATCGCGATTTTCTGTTTTCCATTTATATAACATGGGAAAAATTGTTTTTCAATTTCAGAATTTTATATCTTAGACGAATTTAAATGACCAAAACGTATTCTTGTAGGGAATTGAACGTTTTACAAAAAAATGTCCCTTGTCATATTTTGATAAACCTACTCATACAAAAGTTATTCAAATTCAAAGTTAAATTTATGTTATAATTACTTTTTTTTCTCCAGTTTCAGGTAAAATGATTAAAGTTATTGTATTAAAAGGATTTTAATTGATTCTTCCCAGAAATGGTGGGTTTTTCAGTCATATTAATCTGAAAGACTTGATAAACCTGTCAATTTTGACTTTTAAATGCCTTTTTTTATAATATTTCATGATAACTTTAATCATTTTACCTGAAATTGGAGAAAAAAGAGTAATTATAACATAAATTTAACTTTGAATTTGAATAACTTTTGTACGAGTAGGTTTATCAAAAAATGATAAGGGGCATTTTTTGTGGTACGTTCAATTCTCTACAAGAATATGTTTCGGTCATTTAAATCCGTCTATTGGTTTTTAAGATATAAAATTCGATATTTGTCGATTGTCCGATCTGTGGTGAGCTGCTGATGAGAACTAATAAGTTCAAAACCAGCGTTCATCTGGTGATCTTACTAACGAATGAACTTGGCTGTTTACTAGATATTGTCAGTGTAATTCAATGCTGACTGCGATATATACACGGCTGGAAAATCCACATAGTCCGTCTGCCTTTACGTGAATGACAAAGTAAGTCATAGAAATCCGTACGACAGACAAGGATGGCCATATTGAAGACGTTTTATAATTTGAATAGTCAATAGGATGCGCTCTGTTATAAGTGGAAGTGACTATTCAGATTATGAAACGTCTTCACTATAGCCATCCTTGTCAGATTTCTTTACTTTACTTTTTCGCTCTCATGTAAAAGCAGATGGACCATGTACCGTTGCCAGCATTGTGATCACTATATTATTATTTTAAGTCAAGATATTAAGAAATTTAAATGTTAAAAAGTGACAGTGATCTTTACGTGTGTTTTGATAGCAAAAGGCGTGATTTCAATGATTCAGTGTTAAAATTTTGGAAATATGTCGTAAAATTTTTGATGTAATTTAATAAAATTCAAGCTGGCCACTTCACTAACTAAAAAATCGCAATTTGTATACTATTGGAAAATATTAGAAGATACTATTATCACTAAGAACTCTAAAATTTAGCTGTTACTGAGTATTCTTAAAAAATTTCTGACTGTATTTAAAAAAAAAATTCTAATTTTAATCCAAAAATTATTTTTTATAATTATAACAGTAGCTTAATACACACAAATAATTCTAAAATACCTCTAAAAGTGTTAGTGACGTTATTTTTGCAAGGCCTACTGAATTCTGATGAATTACCCATAATTTCCCAGACACCCTGTAGAATATAATTGTTAAAAATTCGTAATTTAAGTTTATAAGGCAGTTTTATGACTTTTTAAAATTCACCGCATCTTTTTTATTAACGTTTCTAAACGTATGTTTATGTTAATGAAATTTTTTTTATAACGCAATTCTCTATTCCCATTTCCCGTTTGGCATTAAAAGAGATTTTATTCTAATCGCACATCTAATAATTCTTTGTAATGGCGTGTAAGTACAATTTAAAAATTCTTCCAGACCATGAAACAGATAATGTCGGCCGTGGCAGAGTCCAAACCGACCTCTTCTGCGGCGGGAGGCCCCTCGTCCTCGGTCTCCGCCGACAGCAGCACCTCCAAACCCGCCTCGGATATTTCACATCTCGTGAAGCGCAAACGGAAACTGGACGAAATAGCGGAGGAATCGGAGAAGGACGTAGAAGCCAGCCCGGCCAAAAAAGTACCTTCTTAAGGATTTTAATTTTTTTATCTCTTGTACATAGGAATTATTTAACATGTCCTTTGTGGTTGTCTCGGTAAAATAGCGATACGACGGGGCCTGTCTTTTAATTTTAAAGGAAGACTGAGATTATTTGATGTGTTTTGCGAGAAGGACTCCGATTATTACTTTTACGTCGCTTTTAAAGCACTTGTCTTCGTTTTTAACTGCTTTTGATGCGATTTAAGGGAATTTTATGAAGTGTCCGTCCTGATTTTTGCCGGAGGCAACCACAGATTGTCTCATTTCTGTACTTATAAAATGAGTACTGGGGAATTGTTTGACACAACTTCACAAAATCTCCGTGTATTTTTTTGCGGATAAATTATAAGTATTTCGGGTATTATCAACTTTGTTACAGTTAAATTGCCAAAGTAACAATTTTTCTGCCAATTCGTATACACTGAACAAAAAAAACAATAGAACAAGCCTACAACTTTCTTAACGTAGAGCTAGTATCATCAGCCCTTATATCGTTACAATCTTGAAAGAATTTTCAAATTTTTCTTCCGTTTATTGTATTATTTAGCGGAAAAATGTCACTTTGTTGATTTGACCCACTTATATAAAAAATTTAGCGATAAGTCTACACCTCATTTGCAACACCCTGTATATGTTGTAACTTTTAAAATTTTGCGAAGTTGTGCTCGGATCGTCCCCTTAACTTTTAGGGTGTCCCTAAACGTGAATGTCCTTTTGTTTTAGATTTTAGTCTTTTGTTACCTTTTTTATAACTGAAAAAATAATTAAACCTATTTCTACTTCCACATATCGTTTTATTTACTACACATTTACATCAAAATTTACATTACACCGTCTTCTTAGTTTATCGTTTCGTACAGCTCTTTCTCTAGCTTTTTTCTGTACCAGAGATTTGCGGAAAGTTGCAGGATTCTCAAGGTGAGTAACACTCGTAACACTGAAATGGGTAAGAAGGAAGTTGTCAGATTTTGGAAATTAAAGTAACGGGTACAAGTTTAAGATGCCACAAAAAATGTCTGCATTGTTTACAAAATTTGTTAGATTTTAACGTTACGTCCACAAAAATTATAATTTTCAAGTTATCGACAAAAAATGTACTCGTATGTCTATACTAATCGTACGTTCCACATTTTTTAAATTTCGATATAATAATTTTTTAGGTATCAAAAAAAAATGTACGTCTGCATTACATCCACAAAAATGCCTTAATTTTAGAATTTTCGAGGTATCAACAAAAAATGTATGTCCACACTACGTTTACATTTGTTAAATTTCGATATTTACAGAACATCATGCTTCTAATAATTTTTTAAATATCAAAAAAAATGTACGCCCGCATTACGTCCACAAAAATGCCTTCATTTTAGAATTTTCAAGGTATCGAAAAAAAATATATGTCCACACTACATCCACATTTGTTAAATTTCGATATTTACAGAACATTATAACGAGCGTTCAAATAAAAACGTGGTCAAGTTGGTTCTGAAAATTTGGACGTAGGGCGTAGCGTATAGCAAATGAACTTAAACGTCATCTGTCAAAGCGCTATATCGCCGCTATCAATTTGAATATTTTCGTTTTAAAAAGCGTTTAAAATGGTGTTTTCTCAAGAACAAAAAGTGTTTATCATAGAGTCCTACTTTAGAAATGGACGCAAGATTGATGGAATATGGAAGTATTCTATTGAGGAATGTTTCATAGAATTTCAAAATCAATTTCCCGGCGTTGTTGAGTACAAAATT